ACATTTAAAAAAATTTTGAGGTCAATTGAAACAAGTTGATTTATTTTATAATTCTTAATTAAATAATTAATTCATAAAAGCAAATAGTAACCTTTAATGATTTAGGTTTTGATTGAATTTTTGGATTGTGTGATGACCTTGGGTCATTAGTTGGTAATAATCTTTGACAATTGATGTTAGTATTACGGAAAGGTTTAGTTAGTTTGACTTGTAACTGTACCGCGAAGGAAAGTTGTATTCAAGTTATTACTTTTGCATCCATCGTCAAGCATCATGTTAAACATGGCATTGTACTATGTGTAGTGAACGAGGGTGAGGATGTGGTAGTTAATCAAGTAGTTGAGGAGGTTGATCCGTCTATGGAGGTTGGTTTTGATATCGGTGGAACGACTCCGGAACCAGACTTTTCCGTCAATGAAGGCAAGCCCCAGATACATTTAAACCTACCTTGTGTTTTACAAAATTATTTCACTTTTGCTTTTATATATTGCATTAAGTGATTAGAAGTCAAGTGGAAACCTAATTGATGCATTACCAACCTTGTTTTTCCATATCTACCTTGTTACCAGTTTTAATTCGTATATGCCTAGTTTTGCTTAGCTATGCTTAGAACGATGTAAGTCGGGTGATTACCTGCCACCTGCAAGTTTTAAATGGATCTTTGGTTACTTATGTTATCATGAGATAGGAGCATGTGGAGTAAGAAATCTAGACTGAGCGGACTCGGTGTGTGTGAGCCACAAGACATGGAGGTCTTTTGAGCGGGTTCTTTCCGCCTGTGTCGATTAAGGCTCGTACCGTTGTTGAACCGCATGAGGTGAGACTTTGTAGTACTAACCACATACTCCGATAAGCCTTAACTTGGCTATTCTATCACGAGAATGGCTACTCGCGCACTGGGAGTGGAGAGATGGCGGGAATAGCGTGTACCCACATGGCAATGGGCTGAATTGGTGGAGTACTGTATTCTCGGGTGGTGCGGACCCGTTCTTGTTTTAGAGGATCCGAGGGTAGGTTGGTATATGTAGGTCGGGGACCTGTATATGTCGTGTGGTCTGGAATCCCCAGCTGGGTTTAATCAGTTTGAATTATCGTTGCTCCTCGGTTATGGAGACTCACTTCTCTGTTCATCATCGTAGTTAAATAACTGGAACTTGAGGATGGTTTGTGAAGGTGCTGGTTATGAAGTTTCATGATCTCAATACGGATCGTGTCAGCTTTGTATATGATCTTATGAAGTTTTAAATGTTGATGTAAAGAATTTTATCAAAAAGCTTTTACGCAAAAGAACTTTGATTATTGCTAAAGCCATACCTTGAATCTCTAAGCCTATATTCTTAAGTTCTATCAGTTTTTATTTTTGGTCAAGTCTTGTTGAGTACTTTTATACTTAAGATTCGTTGACCTTTGTTGCAGGTGAGGCTCATGAGTAGATCTATTTTGGATCGTGCTGCATGACTGTTGTTCAGTGCGATGACGATAAGTAAATGTGTGGCCCTTGGGCAGGGCAACTTATTTGTGTGTTCTGTAATATGTTATAATGCCACTCCACTACTTTGGTTTGTATTAATTACCGAACTTAGTTGTATGGTTTGAAACAAATGGTTTGTAAACTATGTTATTGTAAGACTTCCGCTGATTTACTCTGGTGTAGATATTTGAATAAATGTTGTAATACTGCAAGGACTCTGTAATGTGATCCTACTCGAAAATCGTGGATGATTCGGGGTTCTCCGAGGACACCCGACAGTCTTCTTAAGTTACCGGAAACATATGCATAGATGTCAAAGGTCGTTGGACAGTGATAGGTGCATGTGGGCCCTATAATTTAGGAGGTTCTGCCACACTGTGTTAGAGAGAGCCGTTAAGTTCTGATCGGACTCTGACCAGCGTCCCGTCAACATCAACCGGACGCGTCCGATCAAGAAAAAGACGTTCTGGAACCTTACTGGAGTCGACCGGACGCAGGCACCCCAGCGTCTGGTGCTCCTCCACTCAGCATCCGGTCATTACTAGACGACTGTAGTTGATTGACTAGACTCTGACCAGCATCCGGTCAGCACACACCGGACACGTCCGGTCAAGAAAAAGCCTCTCTGGAACCTCTCTAGAGTTGACCAGACGAAGGCACCCCAGCGTTCGGTGCTCCTCCACTCAGCGTCCGGTCAGTACCAGATGACTGCAGTTGATCAAATGAACTGATTGGACTCATCCTCCAGCGTCCGGTCACAACCAGACCAGCGTCCGGTCAGTCATTTGACCCTCCATTCACTTCCAACTCGAAATCCTATGTGAATGAAGTTGACTCCAATTGATTTTAGGGCTATTTCTAAGCTACCTAGTGCTAAGTTTGACAAGTGTGCATCACATCTAATCCATTAGACTCACCTAGGTCAAGCTACTAGTCCATACCCCCTTAATAGTACGGCCAAAGGAAAAACAACCAACACCAAACGACACTTAGAACTAATCAGTCCTTAACCTTATCGTCCATCCTTTGAAAACCGAAACGATTTCCATCGTCAGGGGCATGACAACCATGATTGCCCAATCAATTTTTATTACCATGACCTAACTTAACTTGCCTCTGCAAAACACACGTTAGTCATAATAATCTCGTGTCGTCATTAATCACCGAAACCGAACTAGGGGCCTAGATGTTTTCAAGGCCGTCTATGGTGGTGGGTTTTTGTTGCGTCTCTTCTCAAAGCCTTTGTGCAATGGTGTTCTCCTGGTCCTGCGATTGGAGGTTGCTTTCTCTGTTCTCTACGGGTGATTTGTTATCTGGTGGAGTTCTTTGTTTTATTTTGTTTTAGTAGGGTTCTCTATGTATTTTGGTTGGGACAACTTTTCCACTGTATCCTTTGTGTATGTGCCCATCCTTGTACGCGTATCTGTGTTTTTCTTACATCTCAATACATGCATGTATTATAAAAAAGTAAGAATAGGTGTTTGGTAGGGAATAAGGAATGTAAGCAAGGATTGGAACCAAACACCAAGCCAATTCTTGCCTAAGCTTACCTAGTAAGGTGAGGCAATCGTCGCCCACCTATATATGACAAAGGAACTAAAACATGTCCTGATCTCATTTTTATTGTCAAAGACAAATTTATGGTGCATCCTGATGATTCCCAGGCAAACGAATGGTGGAGAGAAGGTATAACAACCATTTTCTCTATGTAGCCAGACCTGCTATGGCTAATGAACTTTTGATCTCCATATCCACATGTAGGAGTGTCAATCCTATCTATAGGTATTACACTGTACCCGATGAGTCTGGGTGATTTCAGCCGCGAGTGTGGGTATACATATAGGATTCTACTCATGGGTACAGGTGCAGGCACGTCGTTTCATCCTCTAGTGCTTGAAATATAAGAGATTTTATCTATTGTGATGACAATCTAATTAACTCACAGGCGTAGGTACCGTGGGTATAACACTTGACTGGTGTGAATAAGGATACAAAATATTATTCATGGTATAAATTTTATCTATCAGAGTGTCATTTTCATTTTTTCCGAGAAGTCAAACATTGTCAACTTTGACCGAATATATATAAAAGATATTAATATTGATGGTGCATAATTAGTATCATCGTCGTCGAATATATTTTCATAATAAATTTATTTGAATATAAAAATATTGAAATACTTTTTGAATATGCATGCATCGACCTGTCACCCTCTTTTCACAATCTCCTCAATGTTGTGCACATTAAGCAACAATGAACAGAGTTTGTCCAAATTACCTTCAATGCGGTGACCACTTGTACTGTGCAAGCACATACAGATTTTCTAGTATCGCAAAACAAATTCTTGTACGAATCTGCAAGCATCATGTAATATTATATATATATATATATATATATATATATATATATATATATATATATATATATGATTGTCCTAATCAATAATGGAGATGATTTGATATGCTTGTTGACATTGCTCCAAGCTTCGCTCTAGGTAAAAGGAAGGGTTTGTTTGCCTACCAAATGAACACACACACAAACCGCAACATTTTGGTGGACATAGCCTACCTCTTTGGACGTATTTGGATTCTTTAACCGGTACTGTATCACTTGGCCAGGCAAGGTAATCTTACGGCACGTGGGTTTGGTTCTTGGGCCTCGTTTAGATTGTAAGTTTTTTCACTCTCTCTCAATCACATCAAATCTTTAGACACATGCATTGAGTATTAAATATAGATAAAAAAATAACTAATTACACAGTTTGATTGTAAATTACGAGACGAATCTTTTGAGCCTAGTTAGGCCATGATTGGACAATAATTATCAAATACAAACGAAAGTGCTACAGTGCCAAATACTGATTCCTAACAGCTATCTAAACAAGGCCTTGGCTGAGAAATACCTCAGGGTTTGAGTTTTCTACGATTTCCTTGCCGACGGGAGGAGCTAGCCAATTTCGCTCGCCAGTGTGGGCAAGGTTTGGCTAGTGCAATAAAGCAAGGTTAGGCAAAGCGAGCCGCAAAACCAAGCGTGTCCTTTCGCCCTGTTCGTTTGGGCTGGTTTGGCTTATAAGCCATGACTGAAAGTATTGTTGGCTGATTTGGTGTGAGAGAAAAATATTATTCATTGGCTAATAAATCATGACTTATAAGTTAAATACGACCAAACGAATAGGCTGACTGTTTTTCTGCATATTTACTTGTCCCTCTTGGGCCTGACAATAGCACGCCATTTTTTCTTTCATGTACGTATACAAAGCTTTACCAGCAAGCAAAATCGTTCTTTGCCATGCCCTCATTTTAATCGTCCACACGACCACACCTGGCAACTGAATTGACCGTGAACGCGTAAAGAACCAAAGTTTGAAGCTGTGGTTCCAAATGTCCTGGCCCCAAGGATGACACGCGTCGCCATAATCACGAGGAAAAATATCTACTGCCTCCTGAAGGAAAATCTTTGCTGACTTGGCAGTTGGCACCCGAATGTGCTGTTAAAAAAGAATAAACTTTCCTGACAATGGGCAGGGCCGATGCGTTGTGGGCCTCCGATTGGGCCTCCGCTCGCCGACCGTGCTCGTCTCGCCCGGCAAGGCATTGTCTCTCCTCTCCAGAACCTTCCGAGGGCACAGTGCTCGTCGCGTGGTCTAGAACCTTCTCCCGATTTCACCGTCCATTTTCCCCATTTCACAGCGGCGAATATCTCCCATCTCCTCCCCTTTCCACCTCGCTTCTTCGCTGTCGCTGCAACACCTCCCGCCCACCCCGAGAAGAAATATCCTAGAGCGCCGACCCGAACACCTGATTCGCTCCTCGTCCGGCCGATTCGTGCTCCTAAATCGCTCGAATCGAGTTCTTGCTTCGGGTTGCGTCCCACAACCGGGGCGCTTGGCTCCCGCGAACCGGGTTCTTGGGCCTGGGCGGCGGCCATGGACCCGTCGGTGGCGCCGGGCATTGTCAAGGAGGAGCTCCTGGAGCAGCAGCAGCCGATGCAGGACGGTGTGGGTGGCGGCGGGGGTGCGCCGCGCCCGATGGAGGGGCTGCACGAGGTGGGCCCCCCGCCGTTCCTCACCAAGACGTTCGACCTGGTAGAGGACCCGGCCACCGACGCCGTCGTCTCCTGGAGCCGCGCCGGCAACAGCTTCGTCGTCTGGGACCCGCACGTCTTCGCCGACGCGATGCTCCCACGCCTCTTCAAGCACAACAACTTCTCCAGCTTCGTGCGCCAGCTCAACACCTATGTGAGTCCCCCCTTCTTCTTCCTTTCCTTTGAAATGATCGTTCTCTTGGTCAGGACTTGCTAACGTTGATGTGCTAGTTTGGTAATTTGCGTTTGTTTTATTGGGCGGAGAGCATCCGAATCCTCTGCAATATTACTTATATATAGAACTAGTTTGCAGTATTAGGACAGGAAAATCTGTTGTGCACTTGTTCTTCACTAATGTTTTAGGTGCTGTAACACTGTTATGAGGCATTGTTGTGATTTGGTGCATTTTAGGTAGCTAGTTCCCCAATAAGATCAAAGATGCCCGCAACTGGCTAAGATTAGTAAGAGACTCAAGGGGATCGAAGCTAACGATGTATGTGTACGGAAAAAAAGAGTGGTCAGAGTCTAGTTACTGATTTCATTTCATTTATGTAGGTGTAGTGTTAGGAAGCGTTTTAGTGTCGGAAACAAGATTGCGAAGCATAAGTGATGCTCATCAGACCTGCTACTGCATTTGGTTTTGTCTACTGCATTACGTTTTGAGCATATCTGGTCGTGTTGTGGGTTTATGGCAGTATGGATTCAGTGCTATCGTGTTCACTCTTTAGTGCTTACCTTGATCTTGGTTGATACATGCATTTGGTTGTGAACAAATACATCCTTGAAAGTGTTTATGATACATTCTCCGGTGATCAGTAGACTCTCCCAACAAATGTATAATCCTGACATGGTTTCTTGAACTTTGTTATTGTAGCTAGATGGAACAAGACACTGGATGAAGTACCAAGAACCAGATTGTTTTGTTCTAGAAGACTCTACTGATCACCTTCACATGCTATAGTATATTGCTGCTCTATCATTATTCCTGTTACCCTCATTGCAGTTATAAACATACATAAGCTGAAATTTGCATAGAACCTCATCCAAGCTAACGTATTGCCTTGTGACTGACCTGCTGATGACCATTTCTGGTCTGTTGCAATCTGCAGGGCTTCAGAAAGGTTGATCCTGACAGGTGGGAGTTTGCAAATGAAGATTTCCTCAGGGGTCAAAGGCACCTGCTGAAGATGATAAAGAGAAGGAAGCCACCATCAGCTGCACCACCATCGCGACAGCAGCAGGCCCCTGCTTCTTGCCTGGAGGTTGGTGAGTTTGGATTTGAGGAAGATATTGATAGGCTGAAGCGCGACAAGAACATTTTGATCACAGAAGTAGTAAAGCTAAGGCAGGAGCAGCAAACTACTAAAGATCATGTGAGGGCCATGGAGGAAAGGCTACGAGTGGCTGAACAGAAGCAGGTACAGATGATGGGGTTCTTGGCAAGAGCAATGCGGAATCCAGAGTTCTTCCAGCAGTTGGTCCAGCAGCAAGACAAGAGGAAGGAGCTCGAGGATGCCATCTCAAAGAAAAGAAGGCGACCCATTGACAACGCTCCGTTCTACAGTCCTAGGGAAACAAGTCAGGGCGAGCAGCTTGATTCACAGTTTATGTTCGAGTCAGATGTGCTCAATGGGCTAAGTGAACCTGGAATGCCTGAGCTGGAGAATTTAGCAGTGCACATTCAGGAGCTTGGAAAGGGAAGCATAGATGGCGGGAAGGTGGCTCAAGCTAGTGATCAGTCAGAGCTGAATGATGACTTCTGGGCAGAGCTGTTGGTCGAAGACTTTGGAGACAAGGCAGGACAGTTAGAGTTAGAGGCTAGAACTGAAGACGTGGATGACCTTGCTCAACAACTGGGGTATCTGAGTTCTTCTAGCCCAAAGTAGAGTCAGTTCCTAATGGTTGCCCCCACAATCACTGGTGCTTTCCCTACTATTGCAGACCATCCTGAACAAACTGGTACATTTCAAATTCAATTCAATGACACAAACCTGTTAAAATTTGGTAATCTACTGGTGACATTTCATTCCATTTCTATTTATATTGCTGGAATATGCAGGAGTGAAGATTAGAATAGTGATGATGGATCTTGCCAACAAGGCTGACGACCCATCCTTCTAACCATATCCATTATGTTAGCACAGTTGCATTGAAAGCATCTAGGCCCCCAGTTGGGTTTCGGTGATTAATGACGACATAAGATTACTATGACTAACATGTGTTTTGTAGAGACAATTTGAGTTAGGTTATGGTAATGGAAATTGATTGGGCAATCATGGTTGTCATGTCTCTGTTGATGGAAATCGTTTCGGTTTTAAAAGGATGGATGACAAGGTTAAGGACAGACTAGTTCTAAGTATCGTTTGGCGTTAGAGAGACACTTAGAGTAGTTTATGACTTGATTAGGTGTGGTGCACACGTGTCAAACTTAACACTAGGTAGCTCAGGAATAGCCCTAAGATCGATAGAAGTTAACTTCATTCTCGAAGGATTTCGAATTGAAAGTGAATAGAAGGTCAAATGACTGACCGGATGCTGTTTTGGTTGTGACCGGATGCAGTTTGAAGAGTCCGATTAGTTCATTTGATCAGCAGCTACAGTCATGTACTGACCGGACGCTAAACAGTACATGATCGAACGTTAGGGTGCCTGCGTTCGATCAACATCAAAGAGCATCCATAGGGGCATTGTGCTGACCAGACGCGTTCGGTGGGTGATGATCAGACGCAGGTCAGAGTTCGGTCAGAGCTAACGGCTCTCTTTGACATAGTGACGTGTACTACTGACCGGAGCGTCCGGTCACCCTAACCCCGGTCACCCCGAAACTTGCTGATTTGACCTCCAATCGTTATGTTTTGAATGAGGGGGTATAAATACTTATCCCACTCGTTCATGGGAGGTCTCGTGCCCAATTGTTCAGCTGTGAAACGCCTTTGGAGCTCAAGGGAGAGCAAGAGCCTAGTGTGGTGATTGAGAGTTGATAATCCAAGATTAAAAACCTCACTAGTTTATAGGGAGTAACAAGTGTGCATCCACCTTTCTCATTAGACTTGTCTTGGTCAAGTGAGAGTTTGTGCTTGCTACTCTTGGTGATCGCCATCACCTAGACGACTCGGTGGTGGTTGGGAGTTTAGTGATCATCCGGCGGAGCTTGTGGATGACCCAAGTCATGTTGTGAGCGGTTGTGGGCGATTCACCGTGACGGAGTGTTAAAGAATCAGCCCGTAGAGAGCACTTGATCCTTGCGTGGATCAAGGCGAAGCTATACCCTTGCACGGGTGCTCCAACGAGGACTAGTGGGAAGTAGCGACTCTCCGATACCTTGGTAAAACATCGCCGTTTTTCTTTCTCTCTTTATTTTGAGAATTTATATTTGAGCAATTCATTTCATGTCTTTACATTCCTATAATTATAATGCTAGAGTAGGATTGGAACCTAGGGTGCAAAATTTTTATATGGCAGAACAATAGAAACACATTATAGACACAAAGAATGAAATAGGCTAAGTGTAAGCTTAATTATTGCAAAAAATTTAGAATTAGCCTAATTCACTCCCCTCTTGGGCAACTTGATCTTTTCAATTGGTATCAGAGCCTCATTCTTCATAAAGTAGGCTTAACCGCCTAGAGCAAGATGTTCCACGGGGATGGATCCCCTTCTATCTTTGGGGGAGATGATTTTTCTTATTGGAAAAATCGCATGGAGGCATACCTAGATGCTTTAGATGTTGGAGTTCTTAGGGCCGGCTCACAAGGCTTTCCAAAACCTAAGGATCCCGCCAACCTTCAAGACGATGAGGTTAACTACGAGAAATGGAATGCAAAGGCTAGAAACAGCCTCTTTAGAGGTCTTTGCAAGGATGTCTTTAACCGTGTGCGGAACCACAAAGACGCACATGCACTATGGTCTGATATTTGTGTGCTCCATGAGGGAACCAAGAGTGAGCGTGAGGAACGCTATCACCTTGTGATGAAAAAGCTTAATTCATTTGAGATGATTCCTAGAGAAAGTGCCAATGAGATGTATTCACACTTAAATATTCTTATAGAGAAAGTTAATGGGTTTGGACTCACATAAATGCAACCATATGATGTTGTGAGAGATCTTGAGTGTCCTCTCCATTGACAAGTATAGGCATATTGTAATGGTACTTCATCAAGGTGATCTTTTCACCGCTACACCAACTTAAATATTGGGGAAGATCAATACACATGAGATGTATATGCACATCACTCTATAAGATGGCTTTTCTTCCATCAAAAAGTAAGATTTGGCATTCAAGGCTAGCCAAGAGAAGAGAGGTAAAGCAAGAGTTGATTATGATAGCTCAAGTGATGATGAGATTGATGATACAAGTCTTACTCTCATGGTGAGAAGAACCGCCAAGATGTTCAAGTAGCTAAACAAAAATGGTGTCAAGATTGATGGCAAGAAGAAGAAATTCTTCACTAGTAGTAGTAGTAGGAAGTCCATCTCCGAAATGGATTGTTATAATTATAGAGAACTTGGTCATCTAGCTCATCAATGCCCCAAACCTAAGAAAGACAAAGTACAAAAAGAAGTACAAGGGCAAGAAAGATGACTCAAGTGATGAAGATAATGATGAGAAGAAGAAGAAGAACAAGCCATACAAGAAGAAGTATGGCAAAAAGGAATTTCACAAGAAGAAGAAGAATGGCAAGGCATACATTATTGGTGATTGGCTTATGGATATTGAATCATTAAGTGACTCATCCGATGATGAAAGTGAGAATGAGAAGGAGAAGATGACCGCTCTTGTGATTGATTCTTCACTATTTTCACCGACACCGCCGCCATCATCCTCTATACACCTATGTCTTATGGTCAAGGGTGAACGAAAGGTACAAAATGATGATGATAGTAGTGGTGATGATAATGCTAGCAATGATGAAAGTGGTAGTGATAGTGATGAAGAATTTGAATCACCTTCTTATGATGATTTTGTCAAGTTGCTAAACCAATACACTAAAATAATTAGAAAGACAAGAGCTAAAAATAAAAAGCTTGAGCTTGAGAATGATTCACTCTTAGCAAAATATGACATAGCCGAAAAAGTTAGTGTTGAGCTTAGAGAAGAAAATAAAATTGTGTCATCCAAACTCAAAGAGCTCAAAATCTCTAAAAAGAAGCTTAGAGAAAAACATGATAAACTTGATGGAATACATAATGAGCTAACCACTAGTTACAATTTGCTAAAAGAAGAGTACACCAATCTCAAGATTAATCATGAATTATTATCCAATGAGTCACATGATGCTACTAACAATGTTGTTAAGATTGATATAGCTACATCATGTGATGACTTGATTGTTGAGAGCATTAAGCAATGTTCTAGTAGCAAAGACAAGAAAGTGGTTGAGTCCAATAACTATGATGATTATGTCAAGCTTAAGAATGAGAATGAAAAGCTATCAACCACCAACATAATTGTGATAGAGAATTTTGATAAAGATTATGATATGGCTCTTGAGAATGAGATGCTTAAAGAAGAGAACAAAAGACTCAAGATAGAGAAAAATCATGATGAACTTAGAGAAGAAAACAAAAAGCTCAAGTTTAAGAAAGAACATCTTAAGACCGGTTTGAGCAAGTTCACAAGAGGCCAATATCTTCAAAGTGAGCTACTCATGAACACCATGATGAAGATAGATAGAAGTGGTATTGGATACTTGGCAAATCAAGAGAAGAAAGCTCAAGATCAACATCAACAACAATACAAGTCAAAGCCTAAGCCAAAAAGATGTTTTGAGTGTGGACAAGAAGATCATTTTACTCATAAGTATTAAACTCCACCACCGCAACCCTTATCCAAGCATGCTAGACCCTTTGCCTTCAATGTTCACTACATTCTTAGAAATGATTCTATTGAAAAGATAAAAGTCATGTTCTTAGGTCCACCCAACAAGAATAGGTCTAAGCAAATTTGGGTTGTAAAGTCACTAGTTAATAAAGTCAAGGCCCTCATCAAGTTTGGGTCCCTAAACAACAAGCTTGATCTCTTTTGTGTAGGTGAACTACAAGACCAGTGGAAGTCATTGGATTATTGATAGTGGTTACACTCAACATATGACCGGTGATACTCATATGTTCATCTCACTAGATAAAGAAGTAGATGGTCAAGAAAAGATTACATTTGGTGATAATTAAAAGGGCAAAATTCAAGGATTGGACAAAGTTGTAATATCAAATGATCATTCAATAATAAATGTGCTATAGATTACTTCATTGAGTTTCAACTTGCTGACCATTGGTCAATTGTGTGATCTTGACTTTCAATGTTTATTTACCAAAAAAGAAGTGTTTGTGTCAAAATAAGATGATGATCAAGTTATATTCAAGGGTTTTAGATACAACAACCTATATCTACTGGATTTTACCTCCGAAGATACAAATTTGAAGACATGCTTATTCACCAAAACATCACTTGGGTGGCTATGGCATATAAGACTTGCACATGTTGGGATGAGCTCACTCAAGAAGCTAATGAAGAATGAATTGGTGAGAGGTTTGAATGATATGAAATTTGAGAAGGACAAGCTTTGTAGTGCATGTCAAGCCAGCAAGCAAGTTAGAAACACTCATCCAACAAAAGCTTACATGTCAACAACAAGAGTGCTAGAGCTTTTTCACATGGATCTATTTGGACCAACAACTTACCAGAGTTTAGGAGACAATCTCTTTTGTCTTATAATAGTTGATGACTACTCTAGATATACTTGGGTGTTCTTCCTTCATGACAAGACCGAAGTGGCCGCATGTTTAAAGAAGTTTGTCAAGAGAGAAAAAATAAATTTGAAGTGAAGCTCAAGAAGATAAGAAGTGACAATGAAAAAGAATTTGATAACACAAACATTGAAGCATATTA